GGGGTAAATGCTTTATTGATTATTGAATTGGTTATATCCTAATTGGGCTAGTAGTGCATTGAAAGCTTTCATTTTGATAAAGGTGGATAAAAAACCCTTTCATTGAGTAGCCGGGATTCTAGCCTCATCAAGCACTGAATTTCTCGCGCCGAAAGGTGGAGGGCCCAAACTCTAGGTTAATAATTGAATACAAAAAAAAAAAAAAAAAAAAAAAAAAAAAAAAAAAAAGGAAGAAAAAAGGTTCAAAAGCAAATAAAAAGTAAGGACTTCTCCCAAAAGGTGAGAAGTGGGAAATGATTAGATGGAGGTTGTTTTGATTTGTAACCTAGTTGATTTGAGCTTATAAGTCCTTAAGGGTGTTTGAACACCTAATGCCCTAAAGCCGTCCAGTTTGGGAGTCATTAACTTAACGCTCGACCTCATGGATCACTAGAAAGCTTAATAGATCAACACATTACACTATACTTCCATCTTTGATCCTTAGGATTAGGAAAAAATAAAAAAATAAAAATAAAAAATAAAAAATCAATCTAGTGAAAAAAATAAGCGCACCTAGAACAATAAAACTTTAATAAAAGGTTCACTCTTTGTCTTAATGATCGGTACTAGATTTGTGTGCTAGTTTGAGGGAAAGAATATGATCATTTCTTTAGTTGGCTTAGATAGAAACATATTTAATGCCGGTCTACTCAAAAAGGATTCTAAAGTTGTTTTGATTTGCATAATCATTTTCTTGATGTGTGGAGGACCATACTTGCTTGCTTGATGTTGAAATTTTGGGAGATTGCTTGGAAATGGTTGAAAAAATGCATACTTGAGGTAGTTTTCTCCCAATGCTTGTTTGCAATATTAGTGCCTCTTTGGAAAGAATGAGGTTAATGTTTGTGAGTATCATTTCTGGAAACCCTTACGAGACTTCACTCGTTCACTAGGGGTAACCTAGGGGTTTAAAAGGCTTGTTGCATATGCTAAATGCAATCGTATTCCCTACGAAAGTGGTGTTATCTATTTATTGCTTTCTAGTTCATAGTTGTATAGTTATTCATTTCATTCCTTTACTTTCTAGTTCATTGCTAGGGACTAGCAATATTTAAGTTTGGGGGTGTGATGAGTGCTGAAAAGTGCGTATTTAAACCCGCTAAGCTTAGGTGTTCTAGGACCTTTATTTATCTTATTTTCTCGCTTTGGATTGATTTCATGTTATTTATGTTTTCAGGCACTTATCCCCAAAATAAGCTAATTCAGCCAAATAAGAGCATAATTGAAGTAATATTGAGATGAATGAAAGAAATGAGCAAAGTGGAAACAAAATGAAGCAAGTGGTGGAAGTTCAGAAAAGTTCGATTGATCACAGAATTTCTTCGATCGATCTGACATAGATCAATCTCTGCACTCCAAGATAGATCCAAGCTCTTCTGTCCTTATCCAAAGATCCCACAATGTTCGATCGATCCAACATATATCAGATCGATCAAAAAGATTCCATCTTATCATGTTGTACCACCCCACCCACCACTTTTGTCTCTTTCTCAAAATATCTCAAAAATATCTCAGATTTGTCTTTATCCAAAAAAACGCCGCCATGGTAGGATCGATCCAGCCAAAGTTTGATAGATCTCAGCCAAGTTCGATCGATCTCAGCATAGGTTCGATCGATCGAACACTCTCAAGTGCGAATTAAATCAATTTGCAGCTCATTAAAAGTGGTCTCATGGTGCAATCATTGGAGGAGCCCTTGTGTACGTGCCTAGACCATTGGGTGTGACATTTGAGCTACCTATATAAGGATTATGAGCCATTTTTACACATATGTTTTATATTTTTAGATACAACATTTGATATCATTCTTAGAAAAGAAGAAAAGAGAAGAGGAGGCTAGAGACACATTATTGGGAAGTTTTCCATCTACCTCAAGAAGAAGAGCATTTCTACTATGGAGATAGCCCTTGAGGGTTGGAGGACACCATCCATGAGTGGCTAGACATCCTCTTGGGGCTAGAGTTAGCCCTAAGCATGCCTTCTTTACCTTGATTTATTTATTTTTGAGGGAATTTATATTGTAATAATTGTTTTGACATTTTTATATGCATAGATCTTGTTTATTCAATGATTTGTGTGGTTTAATTCTTCCAATTGATCATTTTATTCTATCCATATGTCTATGTATGCTAGAATAGATGTTCATGTGTTTATCTCTAATTCTTGTGTTGTTGATGCATGTCTATGTGTGTTGATACTATAAATCTAGAAATTGTCAAGACATAGTGCTTAATAGAATGGTGGTTTATTTGATGGTTCATACTCATTTCTTGATGGATTGTGCCTCTCCCTTAGTTTAATTAGTTTAATTTTTATGTCATTAGCTTAGATGTAGTGTAGTTACCTTAGTTGTTAAATGGGAGGATAATCCATACTTGTTGTTTGATGTTACATACTTATTAATGCAAGTAGTATATTTCTCTAATCATGTGATGTGTTTGGATTGTGAGCTTAAAGGAATGATTAATGGCTTAGTTTGATATATTGTGCTATTCATTGTGTTATTTAGACAATATATACTTAATTGGTCATTCATGCTTGTTGAAACAACCACACACACTCACTATTGTTGCAACATATGTTTTCCCCCTAATTAATTATGAATTGAGTGTATAGAAAGGTGATACTTAGTGGTGACCTCTAAGTCCCAAGACCTCTATCTCTTTTGTTTTCTCTATCCTTTAATTACTTATTTTATATTGAGCTTGTTTAGTCTTAATTGTAATTTAATTAACCAAACCAACCACATTTTGATCACTTGACCTACTAACCCTAATCTTGTTTCCATAATAACACGACCCACCAATCCCTTGGGACGATCCCTACTCACCCTAACTATATTTTTTTGTTAGAGGTAGTAGTGGTATTTATAAATTTAAAATTTGGCCACATTGCACACTCACACTCTTAGTTCATCTCTCTGCAAACTTTTAGTGCAATGCGACGGCCCACCACCAGTATCTCCCATCTCTACATTACCCTTAATAAGGAACTATGAAGTACGGACACGTGTTATAGGGCTGACATACCGGTGTCCTACACAGACACGCGTATCCCAGCCTCGGACACGTGTCCGACACGGATCTACCGGTGTCCTATTTTTTTATTCATTTTTTCAAGTCGGACACGCCGGAGGACACGGCCGAGACACGCCGGAGGACATGGCTGGTACACCGGAGTACACCGGTGTAGGACACGGTAGTTCAAATTAATAAAAAAAAAATGGAAGAGATGAGAGAGAAACTGGAAGGGAGAAAGGAAATCAACAAAGAGATGATGAAGAATCATGCTCTGGTTGGTTATTGATGGAAGAGAAGGAAGATAGAAAGTTAAGAGAAGGAGGAGATGGCGTCCGGCAAGAATTCTGATTCTGCTAAAGTCTCTCTCGTCTGGTTGCGAACAGATCTCAACCAAAGGCTTGATCGCCTTTTTCTTCCTCTGTCAGTGAGTGGTTATTGGTTAATAAAAGAGGAATTCAATTTTGAAGAGAGAGAGACAGTCAAACTGGAAAGACCAAACTTAGGAAGACCGAGGAAGAAGATAGAAAGATAAGATTGTAATTGTATCTTCTGTGTTTGGTTACAAAGTTGATCTTTTTTTCTGTTGTGTTTGGTTACAAAGTTAAAACTATTCTAGTATTGATACAAATTCTAGTATTGGATTTAAAGATATACTACGTATTTATTGTTTGAATTTTAATAAAATTTGGATTGGACTTAATTTAAATGGATCATGTCTATTAATGTAAATTAAAAATTAAGAGAAATTAAAATTTTATATATAATAAAAATATATATTATTATCTTATTACCGTATCTTTGCCATATCCGTGTCCTATTTTTTTAAAATTTATCGTATCACTGTGTCCGTATCGTATCGTATCTATGTCCCATACACGAACACATTGATGCACTGTATGCTATGCAATTTGGGTTGATGAATACCAATTTCAAGTCGTTAACTCTCACTCATAAAACACTTCATGACAATGACAATCGATCCAATGAATGAAGAAAGCCAAAGAACGACGAAATAATTTTATTGTCAAAGCCACTATTTATATATCCAATGGTTGTGGAGGCTGAAAATGACAATAACAATCAAAAGTATGTATGGTTAACAAAGCATTAGATGATATATAATCAAAGGCAATTGTGCCTCACTAAGATATCATTAATCAACAGATAATCGTTAATAAAAAAAATAATAAAACCATTTGATGGTTGTTTACCTCAACTACTTAATCAAACCACCAGCATTACAGACTATAAATGAAGATTTTTGAAGCTAATCTTACAAAAAAGTTTTATATTAATCTAATATGGATATCAACATGGGATACGATACATAAATAAAGACACGGATATAAATATACACACATAATATAAGCGTAAATTATGTGTAAAATTAATATATATCCATATTTGGATAGATTTAAATAAGAATTGTTGTCATTGTTATTATGATTTTTTTTTTAAAATATATATATATTATGACAAACAAAATGAGAGTTTAGAATTATATTGCAGTGATAAATTTTGGATTAAATTAGTCATATTATATCTCAATAATTCTTTCTTTAAGAAAATTTGAACGGATTTTAACAATTATACTATGATATGTTTATCAATACATGTATGTTATTATTATTTTTTTTAAGTATTTGTGCTTCAAAGACTCAGCATTTCTCAAACCATCTACAATATATCATATGAAAATTCCTACTACGTACCATTCTTTTCTATTTAGGTTGGAAATGGCTCCTTTTTTTTTTTTCTTTTTGCTTTTTTTATTCTGACCAATTAGGGAGAGGGGATTCGAAAATAGACACACAAGGAGTTGGGCGCTCTACCAACTAAGTTATTAGATAATGTCGGACCGAAAATGGTCCATTTGTTAACGAAAATTAATTTTTGCTGTCAACCTCTAAAAGAATAATGAAAAGTACAAGATTTTCATGCTTTCCAATCAAACAAGGATTGTTCCATCCATTCCAAATTCTAGTACAAGAAGGTTGACATAACATTTCTACACAAAAAAAAGATTACCCTAAAAAACGATTACACTAAAACAAAACTAGGCCACTTGACATAACATTACAACACAGTGAACACATACAAGTCCATGGCTTAATAACAACCTTCCCTTCATTTTTGCTGTGACATCTTGGTCTTTCTCTTCTCCAAAAAGAAGAATCCAAACAATGACACAATAGAGAAAGCAGAGAAGCAAACCGACGCGATATCTAGTGACACGTGACGACCAGAGATTGCCTGTATCTCGAACAAGTTGGCAGTCTTGTCAGCATTCGTTGTCTGACCATAGGCGGCCTCGTGGCCCTCGGAGTTGAGGGCATAGGCCCTTATGAAATAGGTTGCAGTGGGCACATTCTTCTCGACAGTCCAAGTGAAGGAATTGTTTGAAGGGTCATATGGTTTGTCAATGATCTTGAATTGGCAGGTCTTGTCCTTGGCTAGGTTGTCCACTGTTTTCCTCCAGGCTCGGTCCACTTGGCTAATGGGTGCATAGCAGAGCTTCACCTTCACAGTCTTGTAGGTTGAATCTGTCCCAGCTGGGAAGCTCTGGTTATATGACCATGTCACTGTGATTTGGTCCTCCCCAGATTTTAAAACTGCAGGCCAGTTCAAACACAGGAGAAACTTATAAGGATTAAACATTTATCCAAAAAGAAAAATACAAAAAAACCCATTTGAAAAAACCTCCATTTGCATCATTTTTAGGCAAAATGGGTAAATTTTCTAATCTCCAGAGGATAAATATCATGTGGGTTTTGAATCACAGGTATGAGCATAACAAGAGTTGTTTTTTTAGTGTTTTTGGTACAACTTTATTTTGGTCAAATGATTTGTTAACATTAAGCTTCGACAAGGCAATCTATGCAAATCAAGCAGTTTAGTCTTAAACAAGTCTATTTTTAGTTCTTGTAGGGCTTTTATTTTGAAAGAATATACATCTATAGATCTTGACGAGTGAGATAAGACCAAGCACTTCAAAATTCAAATAAAGACTGACAACCGATCAGTTCAGTATAAAAAAGGATAATGAGAGCTAAGGATACCGAGTATTCAAATTCAAATGAAGATGATGAGGTGAATTGATTTCTAAAAATTGTATCGAGCTTGGAAAATGACGGATTGACTCAGATGAGAGAGGGAGAGAAGTGGGATTATACCTTGTCCTGGAGTAGGTGAAGCAGTGATCACAAGAGTCTTTTGAAGAGAGGAGAAGGTGATGATACCATAGCAAATTTCTACCAAACAACAAAGCACAAATACTAAACCCACAACAAATCCACCACTAGTTGCCATTAAGGATCCTTTATAGACTTAGAAAGAAAATCAGCAAAAGTAAAGAAAGTATGTGATCCCAATGTAACAATGAATTGAGAACTGTTACTTTGGGTAGCTTTATATAGAAGTGACAAAAGGTGGACTAGTCCAAGAACCCATAAATAGATGGGGTATTGAGATAAGTCAAAACTCACCCCAAATGGGTGTTTTTAAACATTTTCAAGAGACATTTAATAAAATGTAAAAACAATTCATAAGTTGGCCCTAGAGCATGTTGAGGGGTTGGGATTACATGGGTTTAATTAATTACTAAGAAAAAGACTGGATTGGTAGGGATGCGTTTGGGTTTTAATTTATTCATTGACTTTATTGGATGTATATAAATATTTCTTAAGAGGCATTGAAATTTATGATGTACATGAGAAGATGTTCTTAAGCTCCTTTTTGTCCCCTTGTGAATTGGAAAGAACAAGCAAACAAGAAAATTAGGAGAGCAGGTGTGGAAAAGAATGGAATGAACCTTGAAATCACACAAAAAGAGTATCATTCTTTCGTCCAATTATGTGAAGCCACTTCAGAACATCATGAATGCTACAACTCTATACTATTTAATGTTTTGGTGTGTGTGATAAATTCTCCAATGAAAATTTTTCCTAAAGTTCAATGATGAATTTGGCGGATGGGCTCCACCCACAAAATAAATCAAAAAAGTATGTGGTGAAATGCGTATCTCTCCATTATCTTGTGAATAGGATTCCAATCTCTCTCTTTCATCATTTTTTTTCTCTCCACTCACTTCCATTTTTCTTCCACTCAAATTTTATTAACTTTTTTATAATTTTTTTCTCCTAAATTTTATAAAACTACCAAAACCAGAAGGATCAATCACACGAGAAAAAAAGACATCCAGGATACTAACATGGTGTCCCCGGCCAAACTGCAATATCAGTGGTCAGAAAGTCCTCTCTTCTTCCAAAGCTAAACAGTGCCTCCTCCCCCAACATATATAATAACATGTACAGCCCGTGTAACCAATAAATTTCCAAACTAGAAGCTATATAATTTCGGGTAAATGGATAAGTCTGGGATATAAAATTTGTAATTAGTAAATTTTATTGTCAAAATAAATTCAATTGAGTTATATTTTTAAGTTCAAGTTCGAGATCGGAAGCAAAATTAAAGAGTTGTTCGTAAAGAGTTGTTTGTGAACAATAACTTGACGACTTTGAAAAATTTAAGAACAACACCTTAGGAAGTTTAGTTAGAAAGTAAGGATACTTGCGTGCATATATTGTATGTTTTAAAAAACAAGCGTTGCCAAAAGTTTTCTAAGTGTAAAAGCTTTAAGTTCAGGTCTGGCCAACTTGAATCGGTTCAAGGGCAGCTGAACTGGTTCAAGAGTTAAAGACTTTTTTTTAAATAATAATAAATAAAAAAAACCCTGCCAACTTGAACCGATTCAAGTTCTACAACAGATTTTGGTAACTTTGTTTCCTACTCAGTTTTTACTTCCTATTCTATATAAAAGTTCTCCTCAAACCTTATGCATGAAATTGACTTATTTTTCAAGTACAATTAGGGTTTCAAAAGTCTATTAAGACATATTTTCTCACTTAGGATTGTGTGGCTTTTTGCATTAAAATTATGATTTTCATTAAGAGCCTTTTTGTAAGATTTTTAAGAACATATACACTATATATACACAAGTAATTTAGCGTGTTGTTCAAATCTGGTTGTGTTCAAGTCTATTGAAGATTTTATCTACAACGATTAGGGAAAACATATTTTATTTCTTCAATATTAAATTCAAATTCGAAGAAGAAGAATTTCCGATCACACGTTAAAGGGATCAAGGCACTTGTGGAGTGTTGTTGATCTACCAGCAATCCTTCTACAAGGTTTGAGGCATAAGTTTGAAATCGAGAGCTATTAGACATGAAGTCGCAAAGTCAGGGGTATTCAGTGGATTGAGTTTTGGTAGAGTGAAAGGGTTTGAGTCTGAGTCAATGTTCGGTATACTTTACTTTATACATATGGATCATTTTAGGATTGGGATAGCGCACAAAACCTCGAGATTTTTCAATTGATTTTCTCGTTAAAATCCGGTGTCACTCTAAACTTTACTTGCTTTTAATTTGTGTGTGATTGTTTAAATAACAGATAATTTTAGTATAATAAATTGGATAAAGAAACACGTGATTAATCTCTCTCTAAAATAGTTTTTAAAACTTAACTTTCCATAACTTATTCCACTGCATAAGTCACAACTGGTATCAGAGACAATCTTTACACATTTAGTTGATCTGAGTGGAAAGTTTATTTGTTTTCAAAATTTCTTTCATTATGTCTTATATTTTGAAAAAGGATGGATCTAATCAACGTGGTCCTTTATTCGAATGAGACAATTATAACTTTTGGAAACCAAAGATGAGAGCTTATTTTCAAAATTCACAAGGTAAAGTCTGGGGTATTGTTGGGACAGGCTATACACCTCCGACTAAGGACAAGGAATAGGATGGTAAGACTGTTAACATTTTGAAGGACACCTTCACTTACACTGCTCTTGAGACTAAGTGTAGTGATGCTAATGAAAAAGCTTTGTATATGAAATTATTAATTCTGTTGTTCCATCTGAATATCCTAGAATTTCTTATTGTAAAATTGCTAAAGAAGCTTAGGATATTTTGCAGATTACTCATGAAGGAACATCAAAAGTGAAGAAACCCAAAATTCAGATGCTTTCTCATAAGTTTGGGAATATAGTGATGAAACAAGATGAAACTTTTTCTAAGTTTTATTCTAGTTTTCTTGAAATTATCTCTGAGCTTCGTCACTTAGGCAAAAGAGTTAGTGATAAAAAAAAATAATGAGAAAATCGTTAGGTCTTTACCTAAGAGATTTCAGAATAGGGTAGAAACAATTACGAACATTGGGATTTGTCTAGTGCTAAAGTAGATGGGGTTGTGGGTTCCCTAAAAAATTTTGAGATGCAGATTTTTTGTCAAATTCAAAAAGAGAAGAATATGGCTTTAAAGTCAACTCAAATTGAAAACATTGTTGATGACAATCCTAATGAAGATGTGGCACTCATAACTACACAATTTAATCAGTTTTTGCAAAACAAAAAAACAAAGGAGAAGGAATGTCAATGGGGCTAATCCTCATAATTTGGATAAGGGTTCAACTTTTAAGATGAATGAAAAGAAAGGGGAAGAATCAAAAGAAACTGAACTTGGTTACTGGAATTGTGGTGGCAAAGGTCACACTTCAGTTGTTTGTCCTAGTCCTAAGAAAGATTCAAATGATAAGAATATAGAAAAAGTTATGAAAGTTTTAGTTTTTTAGAATACTACTCCTAGTGATAATGAATCATCTCATGATGATTGCAATGATTTTTCTTTTGTTGTTTTTCTTGATAAAGTTCCTCATGTTGTTACTTTGCCTGATTCTAATATTTCAGACAATGAAGATAGTGAAATCCATGATAAACAGGTTCAAGAGGAAAAGATTGATGAAAAGCAACTAAAAAGAATGTTTGCAGAAACTGTGGAAGTTAAATTTGTTGTCAAAAAGTTGGCAAAAGAACTTATTCAAGCCAAAGAAGAAAGAGATTAACATAAAAAAACAAGTTGATGAAGGTAAATTGAGAATTATTGAAAGCAATTCATTTATCTCTGATCTAAAAAGAAAAGTCAAATCTCTTGAAGGCAAGGTTAGTATAGCTAATTCTATAAAAGATTCTCTTGTTTCTATTATTGAATTTCTTGATATTGAATTGAAGAAATCACAAGAGAAATTGATTGATTTTACATCTGGATGAGTCAAACTAAATAAGATGATAAATATTAGCAAGAATGTAAATGATAAAACATGTTTAGGATTTGTTAAGAGCTCATCTAGTAATCAAGGTAAAACATTTTTTGTGAAACCTGTTAATCAAAACATGCCTAATCTTAAATTGGTTGATTCATTGCATTCTAAAATGTCTTTTGTGCCTAATGTGTTGCATTGCACTTTTTGTGGTAGAACTGGACATAGCCAACATTATTGTTTTTGGAGGAAAAAGAAAAGTTTTTCTGATATTCATTCTCATTGGTTTCATGCTAAGAATAAGGTGCATTCTAAGAAAAGTCAAAATTTTGTTTCACCCAAAAATTCTAAAGTTGAGAATTTGCATGAGAAGAAAGTCAAAACTGAAAAAACCCTTTCAAAAATTATAAGTGAAGACTGTTTGGATCAAAAAAGAAGAGTTAGTCAACTATGTGTCAATTGATTCTAAGAAACTAGTTTCCAATAAGTCATTGGGTACAAAATCCTCAAACTGAATCCTATGAAGGTTGAGTGATCATAGATTGTGATTATTGAAAATATGTTTGCCATTGGATCACTTTTTGCAGTCTAGTGTTTGGTTGTGGTTTGGGAAAGTAATGATCATATTTGTTTCTTGATAACATATGAGAAAAAAAATTTCTATTGAATTTATGATTAGTTTTTGAATGCAAATTGAGACACATGATGATTTGATAAGATAGATTCTTTGTTTGTAATTTATACAATGAAAAATAATTTGATGTGTTTATGTGATTTTCAGATTTGAATCTCTCAAGTCATGTTTACATATGCACTAGTCTATCTCTAAGAAAATGTATTGAAAATCGTTGGAATGTTGACTAGGTTATATTGCCCATAAAAGCTATAAAGGTTATTGTTTTGAAAAAAATAGAGCACGTTTTGAAAAAAAAAAAAAAAATGATGAAAAATTTTCAGCAAGAAAAGAAAAGAAAAGAAAAGAAAAATTTGTTGAAAATCTTTGCAAAAGAAAAGGTTACCTATAGAGTTTGGGTCAAAAGCTTCTATTCGACTTTGAAGTGGAGTTATTTGAGTAAAAAGAAAGGTGGAGACAAATCAAAATAGGGAATTGTTAGAATGAAATTCGTCTTGCCTAGAAAATTGTTCAAAAACAATCTTATCTTGATGTTTTTCGATCCATATGATTTAGACAACGATTGATGAAATTTGATTGAAATGTGGGGTGGTTGGATTAAACAAACACATGAACTTGCTAGATGAATGTCTAAATTTTTCTTTAAAATTTGCAAGTTGAATTTCATGTTGTGATTGCCTTCTAAGAGTCGAAAATTATTGAAATTTCTATCATGCATTTGTG